ACCAACTTGGGATACGCCCAGAGTCACGGAACGGATTAAGTTTGTATCCCGAGGTACCACTCTATTTGATTTTGAATGGTATTTGAGGTATGTCACTCACCAGTCAAAGTCTTGATTTCTGCACTGTGTTGACTTGTATGTACAACAGTGTTTATTCATAACTGTTGTTTTGTACTTGTCTGTCAGCTGATCCTAAAAACTATTTTACATGTTTCTCTCTTAATATTTTACCAAAAATGTAATAAAAGAACAAGAGAAGAAATAGTTTAATTCTGCATTTCTCAGTCACTCATTTACTTATAGTTGCCAGAAGAAAGATCAGGATGATGATGATGATGATGATCATGATGATGATGATGATGATGATGATGATGATACAACTCTAAATCTTTCTTTCTTCAAGAAACAAATGCACGGAGAGCTGTGGATAGAGGCTATGTCCAAATGCTTTTAACAATTTATGTAGATTGGCACCGTCATGATGGTCGGCATAGACATATGTTAATCCGCAAGGGAATCTTGCAATCTATTAAAAGTATTACAAATATCAAGTTGGGAAGAAAAGCATTTCTAGATGTTGATGGGATGAAAATTCTGTACAACACTTCACAGGTAAATTTTAAGGTTTTATGCTATTATAAATGCTAAGTGAACCCTCTTTATATACAGTTAAAATGGCAATATAAACAGGCTTTGTGGATAAAAATGTGGAATCTGTATAGATTTTAATTCTTCATTAGCTGAAAAATCATGGTTCATAGAAAAATATATTCAGTGTGGGCTAGTATATTTGATATTCAGGTAGACCTTGTTTAGCAACTGCCTTGGATAATGACTGTTTGCAAATATGGTGATAATAAATGGTAATTAAACATTCATTTTCTGACCAACAAAAGCCTTCAGTGTGAAACTGATTAAGGTCTGGTCAGTTTCAGGCAGCAGCTGCATCCAGCCAGAAGGTTCTAATCAACTAATTAAAGTCATAGAGCTGAGCTTATTAACTTGCAGTTATCACTTTTTAGGGAAATGCTGTGCTGTGGAGAAAAGCAGCTCAGGAAGAGATAGCTTGTTTAAGTAATCTCTCCACCCTGCAAGGAGACAAAAAAG